ATTTTCCCAGGTACTAATATAGTCGGTTGTAAATCCACCTCCTATTAGAAACTTCAGAATTCTACCAAACGTTGCAACAAGATAGAGCACGTCTACGATACCAAGTGTGAAGAAAAGAAAATTATCCTGGATAAGAAGATAGCACTTCTTGCCATCATATTGTATTATTTGCTAAAAAATTAATTAATTTTTTTTTAAATAAAAAATAGAGAAATACAAAAGAAAGGAAAAAAATAAAAAAGGAAAATATGTAAGAAAAGAGAAATATAAAAAAAATGTATTAAGTATTTGGTGTTAAGTACAAGTAACAATTCTCCGTAAACACTCCTTTCACACATACTCCCAAAGAAAAAAAAACAATTTATTATTAAGTAGAAATACGTATCTTAGTACTCTCAAAGACTTCTCTTATGCATAGTCCCAACACACTCGCATGTAATTCACCAACACTATACGTACTGAAAAAGACAAAATAGAGGCCAATAGCATCGTGCCTTTGATACAGTACAAACATGGAATTAAAAAAATAATCGTATATTATATATTATTATATATCGTATAAAATAGCTCTCACAAGATAAAATATTGAAAAGGAACAAATAAACTGAAAAGATTCTTACTAACTGTTTTTACAATTTACAGAAATTTTTTGATTATGAAAGGAGCTGAAAACAGAAATGTACTTAATAAAATAAGTTAAATTGCAGGACCTTACAGGGCTTATTTTAGCACATGTAATAACTTTAAAAGTACTTACATATATATCGTTGCTTTAACCTTTTTCTGTAGGTACCACATAATGCAATGCACTTTGGCATTATAAAGGACTATCCACACACATTAGGGCCGTGCTCGGGACGTGGACGGGCCGTGCTAGTTTGTATGAACTCGGGCCCGCCCCGGCGCCGGCCCGGACACGTACATGTGTAAACGAGTTACGAGGTACGATATTTTTTTGAGCCCCTGACGGAGCTCGGCCCGTCCACGCCCCGGGCACGACCCGGATATGTGTGGATAGACCTTAATACCGTGAAGAGAAGTCGAGTAGAGCCATTTATAAGTACACGGCTTAACCTGTCCAAATGTCTAGAGACTATAAATAGCAATAGATTATATTTTCAAACAGAAAATTTTCAGGAAGAAAGATGTTGTCACTGATAAAACTCAACCCTCACCCACAACGATTTATTGATGTAGTTGTATGTCTACAAGTACAACAAAACAACGAAAGGTTAAATCGATAAACATATAGACAATAATACGATGGTACGTCTCTACTGCGATCTATAATTTATTTGCGATAACGAGGAAGTAACTTGACTTTTTGATGACTTTTCTGACTCTTCGCAACCATCAGTCGCGAAATTGTAGGAACTCGACATATCGAGTGAGTCGATCATAAAGGAAATTTATCCAAATATATTTCAGAATAATAATAATAAGTCACGGGACGAACAAGAGACGAATGAACAAAGAACAATATTTAGTATATTTAATTAACCGACTTCAAATTATTTTTTGTGTGTAAGTTACGCGAAAACTCCATTTATGAACCGATTTTGATGAATCTTTTTTTGTTGGAGAGGGACTTTAAATTTGAAAAAAATATTCCACCGCTAAAAGTGGCAAACTAGGGTATGAATCCGGTTTCGCGCACTTTCCAGTAACCGATTTGAATAAAACTTGGCATATCGAGTTCTTAGGTTTTCGCGATTGTTACACGTAGGAAATGAAACTATTTTTCCGGATTTAAAACCCGGGAAATTTTGTTTTTTCAAACAAACCGACGTTTCGGGCCCTTTACAGGTCCCATGGTCACGGTTGGTGGTATGGTATGATATCTTTTTTTAATATTTTTTTCAGTTTCAGAAAAATATTCTTTTTCTAATAACGTCACTTTGTAATAAAGAATGTGATTATTATACAGATCATTGTATTTTAAATTCTAATATTGAGAAATGTAATGATTTTACATTTATTTCATCGTTACCTACGGTTTCAAACTGTATGTACGAGAGAGTATATATGTATGTACAGCGGGTTTTGTGCTAATCTCATGTTCGAGTTTCATGATTATGTGACTAAGCATATAATAAGCACGTCGGGTTGATAAAAATGTACAGTGCAGAACAGTGGTTATTTGTTTTAATTTGATCGTGTTAAGAAGTTCTGGGTTCATTGCTAAATAACGCTCTAGATATGGGCTAAATTCTTAAAAAATAAACATTTTAAGAGTAATCGATTTTTACTTGCATTTTATTAATACAATAACAATTTACATATGTCTTTTTCTTTTTCATAGTATATATTTCATACAATTTGTTATAAGAATATAAATTAAAACACATATTGTCATGACACTTAATAATAAGTGTTATTTTATTTTGTACATTTCCAAAAACACGGAATTTTGTGTTGGGTCAATTTAAATCTTAACGTGCGTTATGTTAATCGCAATCTTTGTTACTGTGTATATTCCACAAGACAAAATTAAAGTAATTATGTTTTCCATTATTTTGCGAGATATAATTATGTTTAATGTAGTTCCAAAACATATTATGGTAGAGCAAGGATTTACTGGACGAGTATAAGTTACAAGGCCGACCGCCAATCCCCGTTCCCCCGAGGCATATATATAGTACTTTTCTCAAACAATGTAAGGAATTTAGATGGAAAAAATGGAAGACTAAAGGCGAGAAAGATATATAATAGAAAAAGTAAAAATATTCATTTATTCCCAGTAGTTCCATGTAGGCACTCAGTTCCATGTGGAACAATTGCAAACTTAACATATCATAATTATTCTTACAGGTAGAAACTATTTTTACAGGTGACTTTTCTTCTTCATCAGATCTTTAGAAGTTCATAAACCCTATCTCCAAGATGGACAAATATTTTAAAGAGTCTCTAAACGCAGAACATGCGATTATAAAACACTGTTTTATTTTTACTTCTATATTCATTTAAAATAAAAACTAAAGTTTCACATGTTAGGACAACTGCTAACACAAAATCTTTTATATCAATTGTGTTACTGCTGCATATTACAATTTTCGAATTGCATTGTGACTACCATCATTGTGATAATAGAAAAAAAAAACACTCGCGAATTGAGGCAACTTATTATTTATTAAGAATTTCCTGGTTATTCACTAAACGATTATCATTGTGGGTATAATAAGGTCACAAGTGCAAAATGGCACAAAACTTTTCAAGAGAGAGGTTTAAAGATTCCACGAACGAAATTAGTTTAGTAATATTTTTCATGTGGTTCATATTATTTTTATGACAGTCATGTGATAAAAGACTAGATAGAAGACACTTGGGACTATTGTACCTAGGGCACAATATTATTAATCAATTCGTGGGCATTGAGCGTGTGCAAATAAAAAGATTTAGCAACTTGATAGGTAAGAAACATTTAACTATACGGGCGTCCCAAAGTTATGGGCCATGAAGGGGAAGTACCTTAAATATCGTATATAGAGTATTTTGCTGAAAGAAGACTTTATGTTATTTTTAAAAGTTAGTAATTCTGCATTCATAGATTTAAAAAAAATATTTGCTTCGTCTGGGAATCGAACCGACTTAAATGTCAAAAAAAAAATCAAATATGCTTCCATTAGATCAAAACTTACTTGATATGCCATGTTCGCAATAAATTAACACGATAACACTTGTGTAAGTAAATTAAGACTAAACAGATCAATATCCAAAATACAAACGCTCGCACACACTGTTCCATTTTCAAATTTGAGAACAACATTTAAAAATATTAGTTCTTTTTAAAATGTTTTAAAAAGTATTCATTCAAACAAACGCTCTCATAAACTGTTCCATTTTCAAATTTAACAACAACATTATTTTTGTTTTAAATTTGCCTTCTGTCTAGCTTACAGAGGACGTATTGAAATACTAAGTTTTATCATTTTATCTACACGTGCACTTATAATGGAAAACTAGGTATGCAAGTATTTTATGAAGTGGGTACTTATTTACGAACAATCAATGCATCTTTGGAATGATAATATCGCTACTTTTCAAACGTCGTCGTCGGCAATAAATAACTTTCTAGAAATATGATTCAATCATTTCACGTTGTTCCTTTCATTTAAAATACTATGTTACTTAAGCAGAGTTATTATTTTTTAGCTATTCTTTCGATTGGTATCATAAAAGTAGGGTGCTTTTTTTTTGACATTTAAGTCGGTTCGATTCCCAGACGAAGCAAATATTTTTTTTTAAATCTATGAATGCAGAATTACTAACTTTTAAAAATAACATAAAGTCTTCTTTCAGCAAAATACTCTATCTACGATATTTAAGGTACTTCCCCTTCATGGCCCATAACTTTGGGACGCCCTGTATAGCGGCAACCACTTCTTTATATTTTTTAAAATGTACAATATTGATTTGTTCTTAAAAAACCAATAAAAACGTACGAGCATCTTCGTACCTTATGCAATTGTAAATGCGAAAAGATGCATTTACTCGTATATTACGTGATATCTACATCTATGTTTATCTATCCTTTTGTTAATTATTTACGTAAATGGAACGCTTCCTATGCTTAGAGGATGGAAAAAAATAAAGGTTCCTATGTGAGAAATTGACATTATGTATCTTTTGTTAATTATTTACGTAAATGGAACGTTTCCTATGTGACAAATTGTCATTTTTTATTTATCCAGATTTTCATAAGTTATTTTTTTACGAAAAAGTTCATGTAACAGAGACATATTTACATGTTTATAATGGCTATCTATAATTGCATAATAAATTGCTATAAAAAATCGATAAGTAAAGAAGTGCATTGAGCTCTACAAACCTTTCGACACGTGTTAATTTCGCAAAATATTACCTAAACAAAATGTCACCAAAGAGCAATCTTGAATAAGTTCTTATAACAAGTCACAAGAGAAAGAACATCATTCTTTTCCACTGAACCTTGATCTTTCAGCGTATTTCAGTATTAACTATTAAAAATGACAGTTACTCACATCGTTTCTGCTCCGCAGCGTGCTTCTTTTAGGCCGCAACAACACATCTTTAAAGTCTAATTTTACTTCATTTATTATATTAGGCATTGTGCACTTAAAACCTGTGCGTTTCGAAAAATAATAAACAAATACGCGGGAACACAGCGCACTCCTCCCGCACTAAATATCGACTGTGCGAATGTACGTGGTGTTGTCAGAGTTAGCCCAATTTTACCGACTAAATACGAATGACTCTAGAATATCAGTTGAAAGAAAAGGAGCTATTTTAAACTTTTCTTTTAAATTTAAGTTTACGTGCATTACCTTTACATTTTTGCTCTGTAGACAAATTCAAAAGTGTCAAGTTGACCTCAGAAAACAACAATTTTTTACTGGATTAATTTTTTTTTATATTTACATTAATATTAAATTAATACTGCCGGCTATCCTTTTCTTATCTTAAAAAAATGGTCAAAGATTACGACTTCTATCAGGTAATTAATTATATACATAGAGCATTACCTATGTGGAAAATAAATACTAGTTGTATTTACGCAGTTTATTTCCTACATCAACTACATGTTTAAGTCGTATTTATTTTGTACATGGGTTATTCAAATATCGGTCAACTCCCTCTATATTAAAATAGTTTCTCTATTTTTGCGCAAATGGGCAGGTATTTCTGGCAACACTAAAATAATCGTAACGTGACGTTGACGTCACAAGGACGGCACAGAAATACTCGGTTTCAGCTGCTAGGTGAAGGTTGTCTCTGCGAAACATTTTCTCTTGACAATTTGTCAATAATTTTCTTTTTACTTAACTTCTGTTTTCTTGTACTTATCTAAATAACGACACAACACATTTCTAAGGTTATGTTGTTATCGATAAAACAGCTGACTGCAGAGGCATAGCGCGCAGGCGCGAATTTAACGGAAGAGCTCTACATTTCGTTCCTTCCGCCAGCTCATACTCAAATAAAAATGCTGGGGGTCGAGAATTTAAAATTAGAATTCACCTTGTAATGGGAAGTAAAATAAGCACGCACCTACAAAGTACGGAATTTATATCATCGTGATCACAAATTGACAAGACAAAATATTGATTGGCCCTCGAAGAGAGAGCGCCACACGACCGTTCATTGTATTTTTATATGAAAGATGGTGAAAGTTTTCTATTCTTTCGTGTTTTTACTTTAGTTTTATTGCCCTCTACAAAACACGACGAGTCGGGCATAGGTTAAGGTATTTTTCCCAAACAAGGCATTTTCGGAATGGAACATACTGGGAATTGGTATATATACCAGCTACCAGACCAGACCAGCCTTAATATAATAAAATAGGTGTATTAACTAATAGAAAATAAATACACGAAAAGAAATTGACAATATTGCGTTACTTTATTTATTTATAAAACAATACAAAAAATATCTTAGCATAAACTAACAAATTTTGGACTATTTTATTATTTTATACTATAGTTACTTATTTTCCATCCAACCTGATCGCTTGAGATCCATATATATTTTATTTCGATACTTTTATTTTATTTACAATTTGCTGGTTCTTTACATTCTTACACCATAGAGTTTTCCACAACAAGTACTCGTTTTACAAGTGAATTTCCGAACACTAAAATAATGTCTTTTTCATTGTGAAATTCCATTTGGTAAATTCTGGTTGGGAAATTCTGGATGTTCTGGCACCAGTTGGTTGTTCCTGGTGGTTACGAATCATTAGTAGATATTGTATACATCAGGGGGTCACCAGACTCATCGATACGCAGTCGCATTAAGGTGCCTACAGATTGCTCGATTCTTTGACAGTAGACACGTGTGGTCTTACAAAACAATTGATATTGTATTTTTTGTCAATTAACATGCGTGATAAGACAAAATCGAGCAAATGTGTAAGAAATGGATGATTGATATGATATTTTTTTACAGATCGACACGTGCAAATCTGTAGGACCTTATAAGTCCGTGTAAAAAGACGTGCCTTTCGCGTCGACGTTCTAAGCGGAAGCGAAATACGAAACGTCTTTTTCGCTTTATTGCACGGACATTTTCTTTTCTTATCGACTGAAACCTATTCTGTGTTAAGTGTGGTAACCTTTATTGGTAAAGTCAGCGAAGTACGCAGTGTCGGCACTGCCCGACTTCAATTTTGCTTTTGCAATTCTCTGGTTAAATTACAATTATTTATTTACGGACTGTGCTTGGTTTATATAATGGGCAGTGTCAATATAACAATATACTAGCTAGAATTACGGAATTTGCATATTTAGTACAATTAAACCCGGCTTTTGACGATTTAGATTACAATTTGCGTGCGTTCTGTAAATACAATGATATCTAAGTATTTTCCATTGGTAAGGATTTATTGTAACGTAGCGGTGTTTAGAAACGCTCCTGTGCTCTACTTATGTCGAGTTAACACAATCATAAAAAGTGACTCCAAATCTACTAATTTCAATTCATCTCAGTTTTGTGTAGATAGAGTGTCAATGGCAGGCATCGAGTATATAACCAGAAATAGAGACGAAATAAGGGCCATACATCCCTGGCAACTCATCAGATACATGGGCCTTATATCACTTTTAAATCAACTCATCCGTAGAACAGACCTATGTGCAAGATGCTGCTTATTCTCAAGACATTGTACATTTCGTTCGTTGTTCTTGACTGTGGATATATATCCACAATCAAGATCGGCAGTTGTTCGATTTTATGTTTCCGAAACGAAATAATAAATACATAAAAAAATCTGAAAACACCTTTAGATAGGCCTTTTAACTAACGAACGAATAACACGATTATATTTTATCCTCTTTCGTATATGTATATGTTTTATTCGCTGTATAATCATATCGGACTCTGTTCTTCGGATGAGTCGAAATATTAACTCTCGTTTGCGCTGAAATCACAAATTAGAAAGCTGAAATAGTACACCGCCAACAACTGACCTGTGTGTACGTCTCCGTATATACCAAAAATATTCTGTATTTATTGCAATAAAGATAATATCTCTAACAATGGTGGCTGTTCTATTCGCTGGTGTGGGAAACAGGAAAATATCTAATTACGGAATTAAAATAAACGGAATCACATTTCACCGGTAATGAAATATGTAATTTTGCAATTATCGACCAATACATTAAAGCTCAAGTTAAACTGGTCTATCTGAAGTGAAACATTTGACGACACCCGTCAATTACAATGACGAGTGGTCTATACTAAAGTTTATCTGCCTCCGTGGCCGAACGGCTACCATGCTGGACTGCCACGCAGAGGAGAAACATTTATATGGCCTACATTTATTTCTCTCGTGAGTTTGGGTGTAATTTATGGTTGTCTATGTCCATGGCACCTGCGATGCGACGCAGAGTTTTCACAGAGTGCGGAGCTATGTTGAGTGTGTGCATTATTGTTATTAGTTTTTCTGTCTTTTTTTCTATATATAGGCTCACGTTTATCTATATATGAACCCTATGCCCCACCTACGGTGGGGTCGGGTTCGGCCTGCGGCGCGTTTCAGTTTACGGGGTGTGCTTACGCTCGTCGGTGGCACAGTGATTAGTACCATGGGCGCTTGATGAGGAGGTTCCAGATTCGAACCCTGGTTTGAGCTAATTTATGAAAAAAAAATTTTAAGTTGGTTTTGGTCAGAGTTTTCTGGGCATAGCCCTCAGAATTATCGTTATTGTGGTACTCATAGTACAGGAAATTCCCTAGTTTGAAACCAGAAATTTGGAGTGATTGTCTGGCATTTTTTCCCTAAATACTTCTCTGGCATATCTTCCAAGAGAAAAGAATCTAATAGAGAGACGGTCGAGAGACAACGCTATAAGTATCCTATTTCCACTACATCGGGAAGTATGCATTACATTTTGAACAATTGTGAAATCTTGTACTCGTAATTTAGTCTCCGTATACTACCTACGCGAGGTGGCGTGCGGACGCTTCGGGCTTCGCCCTCCGCTAGACCTCGGCCTACGGCCTCGGCACTTATGACTTTAGAAGAATTAACATAATGGCGGCCATATTGACAAATAGCAAAAAGTAAATTTTGACTTCAAATTATTGTTAAACACCCATAGAAAACGCCACATGCCGATTTTCAGTAGAATTAGAGCAAATTTTTATCATCAGCTAAAAAAGTTTGTAATGCAGCCATCTTGAAAAATGACTAAAAGTAAATGTTAACCGCAAATTATTATAAAACAGCCATAATCTCTATGTGAGGATCTCCTCTACATGCCGATTTTCAGCTGAATTAGGGCAAATTTCTATCTGCCGCCAAAAAGTATCTATGGCAGCCTTATTGAAAAATGGCGAAAATAAATTTTGATCGCAAATTATTATTAAACACACATAGAGACCCCACATGTCGATTTTCAATCGAAATAGAGAAAATTTTCATCTGCCGCCAAAAACACTTCTATGGTAGTCATATTGAAAAATGGCGATAAACTAATGTTGATCACAAATTATTATCAAGCACTCCTAGAGACCCCCACATGACAACTTCCAAAGGGATCAGAACAATTTTTTTTTACTGCCAACAAACGCTTGTATGGCGGTCATATTTGAAAATGGCGAAAAACCAATTTCGAGCACAAATTATTATCTGGCACTTCTAGATCCACATGTCAATTTTTAGCTGAAACAGAGCGAGTCTCATTTAGCAGCTACTTTAAACGAAAAAAACACTTATATGGCAGCTATATTAAAAAATGGCGAAATAAAAACTTTATGCCAATTTTCAGCCGCATCGAAGCAAGTTTTTCTTCGACCGCCATTTTGAAATCGCCATCTCGATTTTTTTTTAACCCAGACAGTTGACCAGTGTTGCCCTCTATGACATAGTTTCCCAAAGTGGTCCCTACCGGCCCCCAAAGGGCTGAGGAGCCATATAAGCGGTAGGGGCCTCGGAAGCAATTGGAGGGCGTTGGTGCTGTCAACCGCATTTGAAAAAAAAACCATATAAAGTATACTACATATATGTATATTTTTCCCTCGTGATTTTTTTGTGTTAATATAAAAAAAAATACGTATTTTCAATTATATTTTGTGGTGGTGGGCGTTGAAATTTTTTTATCTTGCCTAAGTGGGCGGTGAGGCAAAAAGATTGGGAACCTATGCTCTATGACATTCCCTCGAGCACCTCCTACCTATCTCGAATAGTTTCCGTGATAGAAGGCTTCGAAATTAGTATGGCGGCCGCGGAAATTGACCAAGGCGTATCTCATAAAAGTGCACAAAAATCCCCCATGTATTTAGTTTTTGCAGGCCGCTGATCACTCGTTTACATTTTCCACATTCGGGTCTTCTCATATTTGATTCGTTGCCTTGGAGCCTATCCGCGTACAAGGGTATAAATATCTTTTTTCCACCATATCGGGAAGTATGCGCTCTGTTTTTGTAAGTGAGTCAGGATTTGTAGCTTTATATAGGTATATAATAATAATAATCAATCTAAAGTAATGGAAACTGAAGGGGACTTTGTAACGGTCTACATTTTCAGAAAAATATTAGTTATATTACAAAACTTCCATTTTAAGGTCAACTTCGCTTTAATAAAGATTGTTCGCATTTGTTTCATCGAAATAAGTGCTACTTTTGACCATGATCATAAACGGAAACCCATTAAGATTGCATAGATAGTTACCTTCTCAATGGTCATACTTAAGTTGTTCTTGGTTTTTGATTGGTCGTTTAAATAATTTTCTCTGTTTTCACTGAAGACGGTACAGCTATTTCCTCAGACATTAGCGCTGGTTGTTGTGCTATTGTAAATAATGAAAATTAACATTATAAAGTCAATATCAAAGAATCATTTATTCCATAGGAAATAGTTATTTGTTATGCAAGGCTGTAAAGTTGTTGGTTGACGCGAGTGCTTGTATTGAAACCTGAGCAAGGGAAGGAAACAGAGGTTCAAAACTAGATTTGAGCGTACCGAGAAGACGCAAAACAACTTTGCTACCAAGCGAAACACACAACTTTTCACCTCACTATAGCAAGGAAAATGGTAGATGACAGAAAAACAGTTGAACTTTAAAACATCATCAAAGAAAAAGTTTATCTTCGAATACGTTCTGAATTTAAACCTCATCAATTTTTATTGTCGTAATTTTGTGTGATTAAGTGATTATTTAAATTATTTGATTTCTTCGACGAATTAAAATAATTCAATAAACACAATTAGTTATACAAATAAATGGACGTCGGGTTCGCGCTAAAAAGTGTCCGTACCTATAGGGCGTTAAAATCGCATACAAAGCGTCAATCGCGCAACAGTCTTCATTTGTTCGAGTGACAGCGCGGTTGTCAATCATGCAGTACCATATAATAATTTGTAAAAATTTCCGCAGTAAAGTGTAAAAACAGGATTTTGTACCATATTTTCACTAAACAAATATATTGTGTCATCATAGTTCTCATTTAAAAGTGTTATTTTGTACAGTTTTATCGTATTTAATTTATATATAAAGGAATCGTAAATATACCTAAACTACAAAAGCACACAAAATAATCAAATAGCTAACTGTCTTTTCTACACATTGCATGGGCAAAAGATGGAAAGAGACCCATTACGTCAATTTCAAGAAGCTTATATAAACGTTTTGGTCATTTTCAATTGTTCGAAATACAATCGATTGAAATATTTAGAACAAACGAACTATAGAGTCGCTTTGATTTTAATCTTACATTAAAAATATTTTGTCTTAAGAGCTAACGAAATAAAATGTCAAATGTATTTTTTTAGGAAGATTACAAAACTAAACTAAATCGGTTTTCAGAATTACGGTTCACGTTTAGTTGGAATATATACACGCTTACTTTCACATTTGTAGTAATATTTGTATGTTTGTATCTGCCCAACTCTTTATTATTTTTTTAAGTGAATTTGCTCAAAATTCGACATAGTAATATACATAAAAATTAATTAATATTTACGATAAAGGCTACTCCATTACTCTTGTGTTCAAGTAATTTTCAGTCGAAGCTAAATATGGTGCATTTTGCTAAATTTCCAGTAGAAGCTGAATATGGTGTTTTTGGGTCTTTAAATTGTTGCAAGCAAAATTAGGCAGTACTGCAATGACTTTACAATTTAAATTAAATGTTTTAGTTTTTTATATTTCGTTACATGTCACTACGTTTGTATAGGTTAACTTCGGATATTTTTTTCGTGGTTTTTGTATTAGACCCGACATCCATTTGTTGGTAGGTCATTGACCTACTGACTACTGGTTATCATTGTCAATTTAAGTTGAACGTGTTATTATCTTTTTTTTTCATCGAAAGAAAAAGTTAGGTTAGTATAATAGGTCAAGTTCGAATTTCAAAAACCTTTTCCACGCTAGCGTGCAAAAAGCGCTTTTACGCGCAGATTTCTAATGAGAAAGAAAGCCTTTCCGAGCTAGTGAGGTGAAAAATAAATTTACACTTAAAAACGTCACATTTAAGCTACTGCTCGTTAACTACGCTGACGTTCCTGCGAAAAACGAGCAAGATACTCTAGGGATTGCTCTTTTCAAATAAACTTAAATGCTATGGAATACACTTTGAATCAAATTTGTGCGGAATCTAGAGCCATGTCATCTGTCCATACATGCTTGTCTAACACATAGTCTTCAATTTTGTAATATGACTTTTCAATTAAAATATTTTTATTGTAGGAAATGATAATCTTAATATTCTCCGGAATCTTATTATAAAAACGTAGGTATATAGTTGCCCATAAAAGAGTTGTTTACCTTGGTTAAACGAAATCGTGATACCATGAGTTTGGACTTAGCTCGAAGGTTAATGTTATGGATATCTTCTTTCTTATTGAAATAACGTATATTTTTATGGGCACACAAAATATTTGAGTATGTGACACCAGTCTCCATAAACTTTCCTCTAAGAGAAACCCGAAAACCTAACAGGTCACAGAACGAATCGCTCGTTGTTGCTATACAAATATGGTTTGTTTGTCTGTGGCTTTTAATCATGGATTGAAAAAACAATGCGCGTTATAGATAAAAGACTACACAAAACTACTTACACGGACTTTCACAATAAAACAATTACTTTCACGGTCACAAACTAAGCAATTTCCTTTGTAATATTGTTATGAATATTGAATATAATATGTGAAATATTATAACCCCAGCGCCTATAAACTAGCAATACCTAGAAACGCTCCCTTTTTCTCCCTAAAAGTGTAATTGGTTGAACCGAGGTTCAAGCCTCCTGGATTGATTTACATTAAAAAATCTTTCATGTAAATTATAAGTACTCCTAGCTCGTACATATCGTTGTAGGAAAAACATTAAAAAAAACTCCATATTCAACGGCACCTTCACTGCGATAATCAAATCTACCCACACCGTTGTGGGTGCGGTAAATCTGCCATTTCAAGCCTAGTCTAACAGTAAAAATTAATACGATACGTGATATTTAAGCAACAATAACGAATTTGGTCAAGGAAGGGAGTCACCACATTTGTATTAACAAATTTTTTTATATATACGAATATTTTTTAAGTCACCAAGTGACGCGATGAACAGGTCGCGCGCCTCAATGTTACTCAGAGCTTTAAATCGCAAAAATCTGAGGAGCACTGCCACTGCGCGCGTCACCCAGAGACATAAGTTGACTAGTATCATGTGTCAGCACCTTTACCCTTCCAAACCGGACTGCAGTAATGCTCACTTTGCTGCTTGGCGGCAGAGGTACATATGTAGGTAAAGCAGTACTTCCCTGGACTTTCACTCTAGAAGCTCTACTGCTAGCAAACTTTTGAACTTACAACCTTACTCCCAAAAACAGATCTAAAAATTGTCAGATAGTACAAACTTTGGTAAATTTATTGTTTTGTGAAGAGTCATGGAACAGAAGGTTTTGTTAATGATGTTAGTAATATGGTCCTGCAAGGTCTTCGGTATTTCACAAATAACCCTGTATTAAAGATCATTGCCGTGTGGTGCCGGCCTAGAATAGCACCACCTCCTTCTTATCCTGTGGGTGTCGTAAAAGGCGACTAAGGAAAAAAATGTCAGAAGAAGACGGGCAGCAGCGTCTTCTAACCATCTTGGCCAGAACTGCGATCGCCAACCCGCCTGCCAAGCGTGACGATATGACACAACCCTCCCTATTCTACACACACCAAAGAATTGGCCCCTAGTCCCCGGCAGTCCTGCTCTTCCTAGTCACGGTAGCGGCTTTGGAAACAGGGCATGGGGTGCGAAGAATCCCCGGGGGAGACCCGGCTACCATCAACGACGACGACTGGACCTGGCAACCTACAACACGCGCACATTGAGGACCGACGCAAAGCTCACAGAATTGGAAGAAGCTATTAGTAAGTTACGCTGGGATACCATTGGGCTATCTGAAGTCCAAAGAGAGGGGGAGGACTCGATAATCCTTAATTCCGGCAACTTACTGTACTACCGGGAGGGCGACCAACAGTCCCTTGACGGTGTCGGGTTTATTGTCCACAAGTCCCTTGTTAACAACGTGATTTCCATCGGAAGTGTGTCCACCTGGGTGGCATACCTGATACTCAGAATATCAAAACGATATTCGTTGAATGTCATTCAGGTTTATGCTCCGACCTCGACACACCCAGATGACGAAGTGGAGGCTATGTATGAGGAGATCTCAAAAGCCATGCATAGCTACAAAACCCACTACACGATTGTCATGGGGGACTTCAATGCAAAGTTGGGAAAGCGTTGCGGTGATGAACTGAGAGTGGGGCAATTTGGAGTTGGACAACGGAACGCCAGAGGCCGGATGTTGGTTGATTTCATGGAAAAGGATAGCCTCTATATGATAAACACCTTTTTCAGGAAATCTCCAACTCGTAAGTGGACCTGGATGAGTCCGGACGGCAAAATAAAAAATGAGATTGACTTTATCATGTCGACGAAAAAGCATATATTCAATGATGTCTCTGTGATGTAATGTAACTGCCTCCGTGGCCGAACGGTTACCATGCCGGACTGCCACGCAGAGGTCCCAGGTTCGATTCCCGGGCCGGGCGAAATATTTGTATGACCTACATTTATTTCTCTCGTGAGTTTGGGTGTAATTTGTGGTTGTCTATGTGTGTGTCCATGGCACCCGCGACACAGGGTTTCCCTAGTGCGGGGCTATGTTGAGTGTGTGCGTTATTATTATTATTATTATTGTGATCAACACCGTTAAAACAGGAAGTGATCACCGGTTGGTACAAGGCACATTGAATATCAATATCCGGCTGGAAAGAACTCGACTGACAGAGTCTACGCTCCGACCAATACCTGCACAACTCCAAAACCCCGAGAGCTTTCAGCTCGAACTTCAAAACCGCTTCGAAGCCCTCGAAAACTGCATAGATGTGGACGATCTAAACAACGTGGTGGTGGACACTGTCCGTACGGTTGGGTGCAAGTTTTTCAAAACCCACCGTACCAGAATAAAGAAACTCTCCGACAAAACACTTCAACTCATGGAACATAGAAATGAAATGAGGCTACAGAACTCAGAGGATGCAAGTCACTACAGGCGGCTAAGTAGGCAGATATCGAAGTCTTTCACTAGCGACATACGCCAATTTAATACAGAGCGTATTAAAGAGGCCATTGAGCGGAACAAAGGCTCCAAGGTGTTCGCGAGAGATCTGTCTATTGGGCAAAGCCAACTGATGAAGCTAAAGACTGATGACGGTAGCATCATTTTCATCTAAGCTTGAAATCCTGAGGGAGATAGAGAGTTTCTATCGACAGCTATACTACACGAAAGCACCTGTTGAAAGCGAGGTTAGCGACCCCAGAGCCAAGCTTACCCGACATTATACCGAAGATATCCCGGACGTCAGCCTGTATGAGATTAGTGTGGCTCTCAAACAACTCAAGAACAACAAAGCGGCGGGCGATGATGGAATCACTACAGAACTTCTGAAAGCGGGTGGCAAGCCGATACTTAAAGTCCTCCAGAAGCTTTTCAATTCTGTCATCGTCGAACGTCAAACGCCGAAGGCATGGGTCAGAGGCGAGGTCGTTCTGTTCTTCAAAAAGGGTGACAAAACACTCTTGAAGAACTATCGGCCAATCTCTCTCTATAAGTTGTTTTCGAGAGTTATCACGAATCGTCTCGCTCGCAAGTTTGACGACTTCCAACCTCCCGAACAAGCCGGTTTCCGAAAGGGTCTTAGTACCATAGACCACATCCATACGCTGCGGCAGGTTATACAGAAGACCGAGGAGTATAACCGGCCACTTTGCTTAGCGTTTGTGGACTATGAGAAGGCCTTTGATTCGATCGAGACCTGGGCGGTGCTGCAGTCTCTCCAAAGGTGCCAAATAGACTATAGGTATATAGAGGTGTTAAGGTACTTATACAAAAATGCCACTATGTCAGTCCGATTACAGGATCAGAGTTCTAATCCTATCCAACTGCAACGAGGCGTGAGACAGGGAGATGTGATATCTCCAAAGATGTTCACTGCTGCGTTGGAGGATATTTTCAAGCTTCTGGACTGGAAAGGACTTGGCATCAACATCAATGGCGAGTACCTAACACACCTTCGATTTGCCGATGATATAGTTCTTATGGCTGAGACCTTGGGAGACCTGAACACAATGCTCGAAGATCTCAGTAGTGTTTCCCAAAGAGTGGGTCTTAAGATGAACATGGACAAGACGAAGATCATGTTGAATGTCCATGTTGTACCCGCTCCAGTTAAAATTGGGAGCATTACACTCGAAGTTGTTGACCATTACGTATACCTGGGGCAGACAGTCCAGTTAGGTAAGTCCAACTTTGAGAAAGAGATCTCTCGTCGAATCCAGCTCGGATGGGCAGCGTTCGGGAAACTCCAAAAAATCTTTGCGTCCAAATTACCTCAATGTCTCAAGACGAAAGTCTTTGACCAGTGTGTGTTGCCAGTGTTCACATATGGATCAGAAACGTGGTCCCTCACTACACAAACGTGGGCCTCATAAGAAGGCTCAAGGTCACTCAGCGGGCAATGGAGAGAGCGATGCTCGGTATGTCCCTGCGTGATACAATCAGAAATGAGGAAATCCGTAGGAGAACTAAGGTAACCGCCATAGCTCGAAGAATTGCTCAGCTGAAGTGGCAGTGGGCGGGGCACATAGCTAGGAGAACCGATGGCCGTTGGGGCGGAAAGGTTCTTCAATGGCGACCGCGCACCGGACGACGCTCAGTGGGTAGGCCCTCCACCAGGTGGACCGACGATCTGGTGGAGGTCGCGGGAAGCCGATGGATGCGGGCAGCGCAGGACCGATCGTCGTGGAGATCGTTGGGGGAGGCCTATGTCCAGCAGTGGGCGTCGTATGGCTGAATGATGATGATGATGATGATAAAGATCATTGATCCAGGTCGTATCGTTCAAAAGATAAAGAAAACAGTAAACAGTTTCATTCCTTACTGATCGATACATGATACACGTATAGAAGCATCTTTGTACTAGTTGATGGAACACATACAGTATAAGCATGAATTAATTCACCGCGTATAATAAATTGGCCAAAAGAGATGATATATACCATTTTCATCTTCTTCATCGTTCTTTTCGGACCATTGATCGACATGGGGCGTGAACACTGCTTCCTTGTAGTTGCCATAGCCGTCACATTCCACGTTCGATCCGGTGCGGCATTTCTCTCTTGCACAGTCTGAAAACGCTTATAAGTCACTTTTGGACCCTGAAGTAGTATTATTGACTTTTGTTATCGGTGTTTGTACTGCCAGTAAAATGGCTTTTACGTCACTATTGGTAGTAAGTATAACGTGCAAGCGGTTTTTATCTTACGGCTCTAGGGTGCTAATGTTTTTTTCACTTCTCATGCTCTAAAAGTACGTCATTAAAGCCTTATGTAGCGAGCGGGAGTAAAGTGCATGCTTTAATCCCTGGGGAGTAAAAAGAATACAATTTTTTTATTTACTTCGAGTGAACAAACTCAAACAGCCAGTAGTACGCTTGGTTTTAGATCCGTGTCTTTTCCGCATAGGCAGTGGCGTCATATTATTTGTCCGCGTTATTACGTTTTTTTATGTTTCTGGTTGGAAATAAAATACCGCGAAAATTGTAGTATTTTGGTTCGTAATTTTGTTGTAGAGCAAAAACAATGAATGTTTTTTGTTTTTCTTCGCAATCGAAGTGAAAAGTTAAATTTTCACCTCGAGACTAAAAGCCAATATAAACCCACGCAGTAATAAACACCCTCGCTAAAAGCTCGGGTGTCTAACCACCTCGGGTATGTATTGGCTCATTTTAGTCCGTCGATAAAAAATATACAATTTTGTCGTTTCATTCCTACTCTCCCGCTGCCCGCTCGGAGCACGGGAGCCTCGAAGTAAACCTACCACCAAATTCGCACCGCGACCCCAAACTATACTGGACTTTTTGATTTAATTTATAAAAAAGTCATAAATACTTTGGCATGGCTTTGTTTCATTTATAATTTTCGTAAGTCATATATCTAAATAAATATCATGACATACATTAATTTAAAAGATTTTACGTTTATGCATGATGGTAAGCGACATGTTCATTACAGTTGCAGTACCACTCAGAGCTTTAAATCGCTAAGATCTGAGGGACACTGCCACTGCGCCCGTCATACTGATACATTACTGAAAGTCTGATGAAATTACAGGCACATGGAACTTGTCAACTTATGTCTCAGGGTGACGGGCGCAGTGGCAGTGCCCCTCAGATCTTTGCTATTTAAAGCTCTGAGTGGCACAGCAACTGTTATGGACTGGCGTGATGCTTACCATCAGGCGCACGACTTATTCGTGCCGTCATTTGATATCATAAAAAAAATAAATCGACCCTGGAAAGGTAAAAAGTCTAACGTGCATTTGGAAAATATTACAGGTGAGCGATTTAAAGTATTTTTTTAAGAAAAAAAATCATGATTCAAATTTTATTTGTTATGTGGATAAGCTGAAAGTTTCTAGTTTTTCTTATAACAAATAAAATTAAGTTGTGATTTTCTTTCTTAAAAAA